CCCCCAAAACCCCAAAACCCCAAAACCCCAGATGGCTAAAATTATTGAATCAGAGGTCGATATTATTTATTCTTAGCCAAACATGCTAAGTCTCATCCTCACCGCTTCTTTGGAGAGTTTCTGCCTTGTGTCTCCAGATTCTGGAGTATTCATTCTTGGATTTTCGAAAAGTCTTATTCTGTTATAGTGACCATTGGGATTTTCAAAAACTCCTGAATTTCCCAAAGCAGTTGAACTCTGTAAAGATCCTGAGAAATTATTGTGAGGTTGTTGGTACTTCCTAGAGAAAATATTAGTGTAATGGCTTGAAGATATGATCTGAGAGAGAAATATTTCTAGGAATGATTTACAACATCAAGAATAAGAAAAAAAGCTATATTTATTTTAGTGGGTTTCAAATTCTTCTCTTACCTTTCTCCACTCAAAATTTGACTCGATCTTTCTCCTGGAGATTCTATTCCTGTTCTCATTGAGTTAAACCCAGTTGGATTTCAACTGAAATTTCTTTTTCTTTTCTGATCAAGACAATTCTGAGAAGACTTGAAAGCAGAATTTTGTCTCATCAATTCATCATTTTGTGCTTCAAGCATTGAAATCCTTTCCTGCATTTGCTTAATGATTTTGCTATTCTTAAATGAATTCTCAGATAAGAATTCATCTTTTTCTTTAATCTCCAGTTGGCAATCAGAAAGTTCCTTCTTAACTTTCTTAAGTTCAAATTCCAAGTTTTGCAAGTCAATCTTACTTGAATGGAGTTCATCTTGAGATTTCTTCAACCCTTTATACCTCTCAAACTCAACTTCCTTCAGTGAGTCTATTTCTTGCTTAAGCTGACGGATCTCTTTGATTTTCTCGCCGTTTTCTTTCCCAATAATCTCAATCTTCAAATTGTGTTCTTCTCTTAAAATTTTCATATCTGACTCAAATTTTGACCGTAAATGCTCTCCTTTCAAAATTTCTTCGTTCATCATAATCTCCTTTTCTCTAATTTTCTTCATCCAGGTATCATCAAGCTTACTGAAGTCCTTGAAAATTTTGTCTTTGTCCATCTCGCAGAGTTGGAGCTTGTGGTCTAGTTGCGTACATTTTTGGACAAGCTCTTCGTTCCTCACCTTTAGAATACCTATTTGCTTATTCAAGTGGTCTATCTGGTGGTCTTTGTCGTTAAGCATCCTCTCGTATTTTTGTTTGATCGCCTGAGACACATTTTCTTCAAGGTCTGGCTGGGTACTAGAGCAAATGTGTGATCAATCTTGTCGGATTTGGTCAATCTGAGCATTAATCTGGCTTTCAATGTCATATACTTTCCTCTCGTTAGCAGTGATGTACTCTTCTGCTTCACGTAAACGAGCTTCTGATTTATTGTATTTTTCAAGGTTCCTCTTAGCTAGACGTTTAGACTTCCGGTACTTGTTAACCATTCTATGAAGTTTAGACTCTAAAAGGCCTAATTCTTTATACAAAGATTCTAAGAGCATGTCTTTCCTTGGCCCTTCGTCTCACGGAGAGTGGATAAAATCATAAGTCTTTTGGCAAGATTTTTGAGAATTAATGCCACGGTCTAGTATTTCTTGAGTATCGGTTCTTATACTTGAAACTGAATTCCTCTTCCTCAGAGGTTGTATGATCTGGCTCCTGCAGACATATTCCCCACTTTTACATCCTTCATAATTATCAAGCTTTCCTGAGTATAGCTGAGATGAGTTAGTGTTTAATTGGCTGCTGCCAAAAACTATTGTTTGGCTTCTTGGCATTAATTCTGCCCTGAGCTGCCTGCTTTCTTTATTATGAGGCATATCCTTTATCGTATCCAAATCGATAGTATTAGGCCTCTGTGTGGAAGCTGATCGCATTACATACTCTCCTTGATACTGATATTTTGAATTAGGAGTATATTTATCACATGAAAAAGATGAATGGGAATCTCTCATATTTAAAATTTCAAAATTTAATCATCCAAATGGGGTTTTGGGGTTTTGGGGTTTTGGGGTTTTGGGGTTTTG